CTCTCTCTGGTCTCTCTCTGGTCACTCTCTGGTCACTCTCTGGTCACTCTCTCTGGTCACTCTCTGGTCTCTCTCTGGTCTCTCTCTGGTCACTCTCTCTGGTCTCTCTCTGGTCACTCTCTGGTCACTCTCTGGTCTCTCTCTGGTCACTCTCTCTGGTCACTCTCTGGTCACTCTCTCTGGTCACTCTCTGGTCTCTCTCTCTGGTCTCTCTCTGGTCTCTCTCTGGTCTCTCTCTCTCTAGTCTCTCTGGTCTCTCTCTGGTCACTCTCTGGTCACTCTCTGGTCTCTCTCTCTGGTCTCTCTCTCTGGTCTCTCTCTGGTCTCTCTCTGGTCTCTCTCTCTCTAGTCTCTCTGGTCTCTCTCTGGTCACTCTCTCTGGTCACTCTCTCTGGTCACTCTCTGGTCTCTCTCTGGTCACTCTCTGGTCTCTCTCTGGTCTCTCTCTCTGGTCTCTCTCTGGTCTCTCTCTCTCTAGTCTCTCTGGTCTCTCTCTGGTCACTCTCTGGTCACTCTCTGGTCTCTCTCTCTGGTCACTCTCTCTGGTCACTCTCTGGTCTCTCTCTGGTCTCTCTCTGGTCTCTCTCTGGTCACTCTCTCTGGTCACTCTCTGGTCTCTCTCTGGTCTCTCTCTGGTCTCTCTAGTCTCTCTCTGGTCTCTCTCTCTGGTCTCTCTCTCTGGTCACTCTCTCTGGTCACTCTCTGGTCTCTCTCTGGTCTCTCTCTGGTCTCTCTCTGGTCACTCTCTCTGGTCACTCTCTGGTCTCTCTCTCTCTCTCTCTGATCACTCTCTCTAGTCTCTATCTGGTCTCTCTCTCTGATCTCTCTCTCTGGTCTCTCTCTGGTCTCTCTCTGGTCACTCTCTCTAGTCTCTCTCTGGTCTCTCTCTCTGATCTCTCTCTCTGGTCTCTATCTGGACTCTCTCTCTCTGGTCTCTCTCTGGTGTCTCTCTGGTCTCTCTCTCTCTGGTCTCTCTCTGGTCTCTCTCTCTGGTCTCTCTCTCTGGTCACTCTCTGGTCACTCTCTGGTCACTCTCTCGTCTCTCTCTGGTCTCTCTCTGGTCTCTCTCTCTCTAGTCTCTCTGGTCTCTCTCTGGTCTCTCTCTGGTCTCTCTCTGGTCTCTCTCTAGTCTCTCTCTCTCTGGTCTCTCTCTCTCTCTGGTCTCTCTCTCTCTCTGGTCTCTCTCTCTCTCTCTCTCTCTGGTCTCTCTGGTCTCTCTCTGGTCTGGCAAGAAGACAAAATGTGTAATCGTCTTTGAACCTGAAGCCTTTTCCAGAGAAAGTCGTTGTTAGCGGTGAGCGAGTGGCGACATGTGACTGAGGTTTCAGATCCGTGTGATGTGTGAGCGCTGAAGTAAAACGTACAGTCATTTGTAAAAGGGTTAAAACTGCTTCAACTTTTGTACATTTTGTCAAGTTTACTGCGAAGTGAACGGTACATGGTTCTGTTAATTTTCAAAAATAGACAACAGAGAAGTTGGGCCTGCACTAGCCTGGTTGTACCACACCTTAGTACAAATTACATTTCATACTAAGGTCTGGATTTGCTCCATTGAGCTCTGTGAACGGGTGGGAGGGGTTAACTCCTTTTGCAGATTGAAACGATTGGATCTGAGTTTACCGTGACGTATGTAGTGCGCCCGAGTCTGTCGTTAGCATTTAGCATTTAGCCTAGCCATCTCCTTTCCTGCTAACGGAGCCCGTGGGGAGTAGCGCCACAATCTTGACCAGCGATTACATTTGCTAAACATTACTCTTGCTTCTGCTTCAATTTATTGATAGAACCAGACCGGATTACTTTACTATCGCATTCTTTGCCATTGCCAAACTACAACCTGCCCGTTCGGCGCAAACTCTTGACGTCGACCGGCACCAACCTACAACACCCGCCTTCCGCGCTCTCTGAGTAGCCGGTCGAAATACGACCGATTGTATTCGCTAACACAGGGACCAGCCCCAGACGCTACATGCAGTGAAATGATGATTGAGCGGAGTGTACGGATGGATAAGGCCAGGCTAGGCCTGCACCAGTTTATACAGCAATGCATACTTTGGTCTGGTCTCTCTCTCTGGTCACTCTCTCTGGTCTCTCTCTGGTCTCTCTCTGGTCTCTCTCTTTGGTCTCTCTCTTTGGTCTCTCTCTCTGGTCTCTCTCTGGTCACTCTCTCTAGTCTCTCCCTGGTCTCTATCTGGACTCTCTCTGGTCTCTCTCTCTGGTCTCTCTCTGGTCTCTCTCTGGAATCTCTCTGGTCTCTCTCTGGTCTCTCTCTGGTCTCTCTCTGGTCTCTTTCTGGTCTCTCCCTCTGGTCTCTCTCTCTGGTCTCTCTCTGCTCTCTCTCTGCTCTCTCTCTCCGGTTTAACCCATTCTTCTTTACAAAACAACTCTAGCTCAGTCCAACTAGATGGAGAGCATTTGTGAACACCAGTTTTTTCTTCTGGACTCAGGTCTGGACTCAGGTCTGGACTCAGGTCTGGACTCAGGTCTGGACTCAGGTCTGGACTCAGGTCTGGACTCAGGTCTGGACTCAGGTCTGGGGGATGGTGCGATGAGCACTGTTTGGTTTGAGGCATACATCATGTTTTGTGTTAGGACTAAAACGTTTAAATTTGGTCTCATTCGTCCACATGGTACTTCCTTCCTTCCTGTAAAATCCTCAGAGATAACTCCTGTTGTGATTTAGGGAAATACAAGGATACAGTAAAATGAATTGAAGTTGTGCAGAGTACGAATGAGAGTGGTCCCATGCACAGGACTCTCTCCCAGAGTCATCTCGAGTCGCCTTTCTGACCAGTGCTCTCCTAGTTCAATTAGTTTGTCCAGGAGAACGGCCGTGTCTTGGTAAGTTTGCAGTGGTGCCATACTCTTTCCATTTCTGAATAATGGTGTAGTGCTCCGGTGGAAATCTTGGTATAACTTAACTTTAAACTTCTCCACGACATTACCTCTGACCTCTGACCTCTCTGGTGTGCTTTTTACCCTCCATGATGCTGTTTGTCGCACAGCATCATGGAGGGTAACGAGCACACCCTCCGACCTCAGCTCTGAGGCCTCACAGAACAGCTGGAGTTTACCACAGACTGTAAATATTAACAGACGTAGTCACGCTTATCTCCGCTGTTGAAACTATGTGACATCACTTTTGGCTTCTATGGGGCTTTTTAAAAATGGCTGCGGGGGCAGGAAAACGTAATTGTGCATGCATTAGCCGGTACCTTCTGAAATCCACATCGGCTAAACTAGACTGATCCAAAAATATGTACTCCTCTCAACATCGACAACTTCTGGAACACATCTATGGACTAAGAGCCACTTTTTGACCATCCTGTAAAGATAAAGCTATTATTGTTTCAATAATATTTGTGCATGCGGAAAAACAGATTTGTGTGTGTGTAAAATGATTTGTGTGTGCGTAAACAGATTTGTGTGTGCGTAACCAGATTTGTACGTGCGTAACCAGATTTGTGTGTGCGTAAAAAAAATCTGTGCGTTCGTATCCAGATTTGTGTGTATGTAGCAAAAATATTTGTGTGTGTGTCAATAGATTTGTATGTGCGTAACAAGATTTGTGTTTGCGTGACTAGATCTGTGTGTGTTTAAAAAAAAAAAAAGTATGTTTTACACACAAGTCGTTTTTTTTACACACAGATCTTCTGACGCAGTCCTGCCTTGGCAGATTCGCAAGCGTAACTTGGAGAGAGACACACACAAATCTGGTTACGCACATACAAATCTGGTTACGCATGCACAAATATTATTGAAACAATAATAGCTCCATAGGAAAGACGGCGCCACACAAAAGCATTGGGTAATTCTTATTCCGTGTACAGACCTAGAGTGGTATTGCAGCGTGAAGCACCTGTGCTCATGGATCTTTCGGAGCCAGGACCCGCCCACACTGGTTTATACTGACAGTAGATTACACACAGGTCCATATTTAATCATTAGGGCCAGGTGTGAACATTCAGCAGTCATATAGACTGTTTTAAAACTGTAAGAAAACTCTTCCAGTTTTAAAATGATAATCATACTTTCACTTCACAGTTGTCTCTTACGTTACGTTACTTTCAGTAAATCATTCAGAATAAAATCCTCATGTTTTGTAAAATAACAACATTTCAAAAGTTCAAGGTGTGTTCGTTCTTTCGAGAGGCACTGTATCTCTGAGCGATGATGAGTAAAACATGAAAAACACCCCACGCTGAACATCCTGTGGGCGGGGCTATCTCCGGTGGGCGGGGCTATCTCATGTGGGCGGGGCCTCCTTGTCACAGCAGTCCTCCTGGTTCATACCTCACTCTCTTCGTCGCAGGTGAAGGAGGTGAAGAGGTGAGGAGTTCTCTCTTTGCTCTTTGTGTTTCATTTCCTGCTGTTATGAACAGTTTAACACTTTAACTTTTATCACTTTAAGTTTAACACTTTCACTTTTAGTCAAACTCGTTCTGTTGCTGTTGATGTAAAATGTTCCTCAGTAACTCATGAGGTTTCATATGTCGCAACTCTACTCCCCCTGAGAGAGAGAGGAAAACATGTTACTGCCTCTATTGTATCATAAATACACCTTTGACCAATATATCTCACTGGTCTCTCTCTAATCTCTCTCTGGTCTCTCTAATCTCTCTCTGGTCTCTCTCTGGTCTCTCTCTAATCTCTCTCTGGTCTCTCTCTGGTCTCTCTAATCTCTCTCTGGTCTCTCTCTAATCCCTCTCTAATCTCTTTCACTGGTCTCTCTCTAATCTCTCTCTGGTCTCTCTGGTCTCTCTCTAATTTCTCTCTCTGGTCTTTCATTCTAGTTTCTCTCTTTTTGGGTCTTCTCTGGTCTTCTTGGGCTTTCTCTCTTCTCTTTCTCTGGTCTCTCGATCCATTCTCTCTCTCTGGTTTCTTCCTGGTCTCTCTCTGGTCTTTAAATCTTAATTTCAGCTTCACCATTTGTGTTTTCAGACATGAAGATGCTTGCAGATCAGCTGACGGTGGCGGCGCTGGGACGACCGTTCAAACTCGGGATGTTGTATGACGCGCGGCGAGATCAGCTGATCGAAGGTTCTTTCTCCTTGTTCTTTTTCTTTGGTCTCTCTCTGGTCCCCTTCTGGTCTCTCTCTGGTCTCCCTCTGGTCTCTCTCTATTCCTCGCCTGGTCTCATCTAGATTACACATATTCAGGCCCGAGCCCCAACAAGTGTGAGGGTCTATGGGCGTACCCCAAGCCCGACGGCACATGCCCAAACACCGATAAATCCGGAGGCACAAATAGCTTTACTCCTGCTGTAAATTCCCCTGATAGGGAAATTGTTAAATGTACACCTCGCAAAAACATTAAACCAGCCTCGGCCATTTCACCAATTTTCCTGAGAATCGCTCCTCATCATCTCAACACATGCACCATCAATAGTGATGGTAATGTTTGTAGAATTTTAATTAGTATTAGCGCCCCCTAAAGACTGAGTCAAGTTTAACACGGAGAGAATGAGGTTTAGATTTTCAAAATATTTTAAGTTTTACCATCCTGATTCAAAAAGTAAATGAGACCCATGGCTTATTTTTTACCCTGTTTTTACCATTCTGTGTCAATGGGAAAATTGTTTAATCTCTGAAATGTACACCTCGCACAAAAATCAAACCAGCCTCGACCGTTTCACTGATTTTGCTGAAAATTGCTCCAAATTATCTCAACACATGTACCATCAATAGGAGAGCATTCAAAATACACAGTGAAACTCTAGCAGGAAGATGGCACGTCAGACAAGGGCCGTTCGACGCCGCTTGCGGCTTTAATTTATCTTGTGTTTGATTTGAGGCAATGCTCTGTGGTCTCTGGTCTCTCTCTGGTGTCTCTCTAGTGTCTCTCTGGTGTCTCTCTCTGGTCTCTCTCTGGTCTCTCTCTGGTCTCTCTCTGGTCTCTCTCTGGTCTCTCTCTGGTCTCTCTCAGGTCTCTCTCAGGTCTCTCTCAGGTCTCTCTCTGGTGTCTCTCTAGTCTCTCTCTGGTCTCTCTCTGGTCTTTCTCAGGTCTCTCTCTGGTCTCTCTCTGGTTTCTCTCTGATCTCTCTCTGGTCTCTCTCTGGCCTCACTCTCTGGTCTCTCTCAGGTCTCTCTCTGGTCTCTCTCTGGCCTCACTCTCTGGTCTCTCTCAGGTCTCTCTCTCTCTCTCTGGTCTCTCTCTCTGGTCTCTCTCTGGTCTCTCTCTCTGGTCTCTCTCTCAGGTCTCTCTCAGGTCTCTCTCTGGTCTCTCTCTGGTCTCTCTCTGGTCTCTCTCTGGTCTCTCTCTGGTCTCTCTCAGGTCTCTATCTGGTGTCTCTCTCTGGTGTCTTTCTCTGGTCTCTCTCTGGTCTCTCTCTGGTCTCTCTCTCTGGTCTCTCTCTCAGGTCTCTCTCTCTGGTCTCTCTCTCAGGTCTCTCTTTGGTCTCTCTCAGGTCTCTCTCTGGTCTCTCTCAGGTCTCTCTCAGGTCTCTCTCAGGTCTCTCTCTGGTCTCATCCAGCTTACACATACTTACCCTTGTGTGTGTTTATAGGCAGTTCTCTGTGGTCTCCAACACATCTGCAGACTCTGACTCACACAAGTCCTCATCCGTACAGTCGCGCTATCATCACAGAGTCGGACTCCACGCAGGAGAAGACCTTCCGGCTGGAGATGGACGCGTCTCTGAAGGCCAGCGTCATGGCCGGCTTCGTGGAGGGGAGCGGATCCGCCAGATATCTGTACGAAAAAAAGTCATTCAAGAGCCAGAGCCGAGTGACGCTGCACTACAAGGCCACAACACACCTCAAGCAGCTGGGGCTGAGGGCAGAGGACATGCAGGAGCTCCAGGGCAGAATCCAGGAGAGGAAGGCTAGAGAGGAGAAAGAGGAGAGAGAGGCCAGAGAGGAGAGAGGGGACAGAGGGGACATGATTGACTACCAGATGCTTGACATGGCGACACATGTGGTCACCGCAATAGAGTACGGCGCCAACACGTTCTTCTTGTTCGACAGTCAGCTGCTGCAGGCCAGTGAGGTCACAGAGTTTACCATGAAGGTCAGAGTGGTGGTCCACCTTCTCTTCTGGTCCGTGAACTTCAATTATGAGACTAGCCTCACTGAGGAACAGAAGTCCATAGTTAAAAATCTCACGGTGAAGTTTAACTCTGACTTCCTTCTGGAGAACGTCCCGAGCACGGTCTTAGAGGCCTTAGAGATGTACAAGCAGCTGACGCAGCTGTTAGGGGAGAAGTGGGAGAACGCGGTCCCAGTGAGGGTCTGGATGCTGCCACTGGGAGCTGTGGTCAAGTCTGAGCAGACCACCAGAGCCATCAGATCTCCTCTCAAGGACATGAGTGTAGGGTTAGTGTTGGAGGCCGAGAACACTCTGGAGGAGCTGTCCGACGTCCAGCTCAGATGTAAGGACAGTCTTGCTTCCAGAGCGGTGGGGAAGTTCCCTCAGCTTCAACATAAGCTGCTCACCTTCCACAAACTCTGTCAACATTACTGGGCAGAGCTGCAGAGGGAGATGGCAGAGATGTGTCCTGCCATCAGAGAAGGAACCCTAGATGAGAGCGCTCTGAGAGAAGTGTTTAAGAAAAGAGACAGCTCCGCCTTCAGTCAGGACAAACTCACTCAGTGGCTGCAGGACAAGGAGCGAGAGATCAATGTGATAGACTCCATCTTAGACATCTTGGCCCCAGAGCCGCCCCAAGACGAGAAGGTCTTCCTCAAATCCAAGAGCGACTACCATAGAGCAAAGAAGGAGGACTCGAAAGGCACAGTGTTGTCCACTCAGTCTGAGGTGGACCAGCTGGTGCTGGCCCCTGGAGATGATGTCCGTGTGGGCTACATCTTCACCAGTGTGCAGAGCTCGGACCCTCAGCTGGAGGAGATGGAGAAAAACCTTAACATGCTGAAGAGAAGGGAACAGTATGAGCCGCAGAGCAGAGAGACAGGGGCAGAAAAGCAGTGGTTCTACAGAGATGATGTTTTCACCGACATGAGGTGCAAGGCTAAAGCTCTGACCCAAACCCCGACCTTTGCGTTTGTCGCAGCAAAACACAACGACAGTGAGATCGGAGCGATGCAGGTGAAGTACAGGAATGGGGTTTTGTTTAGTGAGTAGTGCAGAGACTTGTTTAACCTCCTTCTGAGTTCTCTGGTCTCTTAGGTCTCTCTTTGGTCTCTCTTTGGTCTCTCTTTGGTCTCTCTCTGGTCTCTCTTTCTGATCTCTGCCGGGTCTTTTTCTGGTCTCTTTCTGACATCTCTCTAGTCTCTCTCTGGTTTATTTCTGACCTCTCTCTGGTCTGTAACTAGTCCCTCTCTGGTCTAATGTCTCTCTCTGGATTCTGTCTGGTCTAACCCTGATCCTCTGTGCTGCCACCAGGGGGAGCTGCAAACACAGGCATGTGTTTGAGGAATTTTGAAATCTCATTTAGGGGCCACACCTTTACTTCAAAAGTCAGATTGTAACGTGTAACTGTAACGACTGTGACATCATGGTACAATGACATCATACTGTTCCAGGACTGAGACAGACATGTTTGATCCAGAAACACCGTATATTAACATGAATGGAGCAAGAACAAATAAGAAAAGAGGGAAAGGCGAGTTTTTTTAGAATGTTTTGTGTTGTGTTGCCTCTTAACGGTTTGTGTTGCCGAGCTCAAACTAACTCCTGAATGCTGTGGCTTTGGTGACTCGTGATGAATAAAATAATTATAATATCTCTTATTTCTTTGGTCTTATTTGGTGATTAATGTGAGCCACAAAAACATGTAATTTTAAAATAAACAAAACAAATCTGTATCTGTGTGTGTGTTTGTCCTTGGTGTATTCTCTGATCCCTGTTTGGTTTTTGGATCTGTGTTGGCGAATCGACATCATTGTAAAGTCCTCTGAGATAAATACTACTGATTTACAGAATAAATTACCTTGTACTCTGTTGTTTGTACCTTAAGCCAAAGCCCGACTTCCTGTTTCTTACAATAATACAAATAATTCAGATTTTAATAAAGAGTCGCCATGTTTTTGTGCAAGAACAATGGGCCTCATTCACGAATAACTTCGTAAGAAACTTCTCAAATTTCTTCTCAAGTTGTCCTTAAGTAGATTTCTAAGAAGTCCCTACGTGGGATTCATCAACGCACTCGTAAGGCGCTGAATTGTTCGCAGCTGTTCTCTCAGATTGATGAATGCCATTTCCTCGTAAGTAGAGCGCGCGTGCCAGGTGCTTCATTAGCATAGGTACTTAGCATAAGTAACCGCCCATTAATGCCCATAAAAGGGACTGCAGGGCCGTGTGCAGACGGCAGAGGAAACAGCAACAGGCCTAAAGCAAACGCGGAGCAAAAGAGTCACCCTTTTTTCTTCTTTTGCCAGACTGAGAATAAAGTTATAAAATGTTGACTTAAAAGTTGAAATATTATGAGAATAAAGTCGAACTAGCAAAATTATGAGATTAATCTAAGAATATGATGAGATTAATCTCAAACTGTTATGAGCTTAATTTAAAAATATATTATGTATTATTTTAAAGATGAATCTCAAAAGGTTTTGAGATTAATCTCAAAATATTTTGGACCCTGGGAGGAGATCCAGCGCGGACCAGCGCTGAGACCAATGCAGACCCGAGGAGAGACTGGAGTGACCAGCACACAGAAACCAGCGCGGACAGGAGAGACCGCATAGACTGTAGTGACCTGACTGAAGAGACCGGTGCGCAGAGACCAGCGCGGACCGAAGAGAGACCGCATAGACCAGACTTGAGAGACCAGCGCGGACCCGTATGGATCCAGGAGCATGCAGCACGGACCCGTATGGAGAGACCAGTGCAGACCCGTCTAGAGCCATGGGAGAGACCAGTGCAGACCCGTCTAGATCCATGGGAGACACCAGCGCAGACCCGTATAGATCCATGGGAGAGACCAGTGCAGACCCGTATAGATCCATGGGAGAGACCAGTGCAGACCCGTATAGATCCATGGGAGAGACCAGCGCAGACCCGTATAGATCCATGGGAGAGACCAGTGCAGACCCGTATAGAGAGGTCGGCGTTACGTCACGAATCATGTGACCTGCGTAGCAACCAACCGCCGCCATGTTTGAAGGGTAAAACAAACCGAAGGCGAATCCAAAAGGTATCTTTTTACATATGTTTTGCCGTGGATTATGTCAGTTATGGATACTAACGGACAACTTTGAATTATTGATGAATGATATCTGTGTATGCGAATGTATGTTGGTGGTGTAAACATTCAGGGCTTGCTTAGCTGGAGGCAGGAATCTAAATTCCTATCTATTTCCATTGTAGCTGTTGTCATAGTAACAATAAAGAAATGTCTAACTGTTGTTGGAAATATCGGCCCCTCCGACCACCACCAACCACTCACTCACTCGGCTTCCTGGTGTTACTAAACGGCAGTATATTTAGTATTGAGTTGGATTGGGACGACAAGTCATAATAGTCGACTATGACTAGAAAGCAGCGACCAGTAGACTAGTTTTGTACTATAAATACCATCTTACCAAGAATTTCCAGGCTAGGCATTATGTACAAAAATCTGCATGACTAGTTACTTTGTAGATGCAATGACTTTTTCATACAGGAGGTAATTTTGTTTTCAAGGAAAATACATTTGTTAGCAAAATCTGTATTTTTACACAGATTACCATTTTTGTAGCAGTTAACCTCCCAAGTACTACTTTTTCAAATTTGTCATTAGAAATCAACATGTATTTTTTATTTATGTATTTCATATGGGGGACAACATTCTATTTCACAAGGTGCTTGTATCAATTGTTGTACACAACCTCATTGCAATATGGAATTTTGTTGGAAATGTAACGGGCAAGCTGGGTAGGAAGCAGAGGCAGAAGTATCTTTGGAGAATAAAATAACCAGACTCCGTTTATTCATGAACAGCCCAACACGACCGTTGCTCTCCCGGCCAGTTTCAAACATCTCCCCCAGCTCTTTGCGCATGCGCACTCTAGCACACGCTTACAATATCCCCCCCTTACACATGAAATGTCCCCATTTCAATACAATAACATAAGAAGAGGGAAAAAAAAACAAAAAAAAAAACAATAACAAGCATAACATACATAACCTGTTACACAACATCAGAACCTTAACCCATAACATAGTCAGCATAACGTCCAGGCGCCTTACTGTGTCGTCCAGAACGCGACACCTGCACCTGACGACCAATAGGGGCCGCATCCGGTACAAATTCACCGTCCACCTGTTCCCTCACTGGCGAAGGGGTGGACACAGCAGGCTCACCGTGTGAGGAGAGTGCATCGTAGGTCACAGGGCCCTGTGTACTTAGAGCGGCACTTCTTGGTGGGCCAGCCAAAGGAACAGGACTCGGCAAACAATAGGGACGTAGTCGATCATAGTGAATTGTCTGTTTGGGGGCTTCTTCCCCAAATGGACTTCCAATCACATATGTAACCCCAACCACGTCGTCATGGTCCTGTCTCCGCTCAATAATGTAAGGCCCCTTCCAGTGTGGGGCCAATTTACGGCGGCTCTCAGTTGGGTCATGAAGCCACACTAAATCCCCAATTTCGTAAGGCCTGTGTCTCTCTCTGGTGTCATAAAAGGTCCTCTGTTTGTCACTCGCAGTCACACTGTTATCGCGACTCTGGCGAAAAGCAGCATCCAAACGTCTACGAAGGGAAAAAACAAAATCATCAATAGAGTCATATCTCTGACCAGTCTGCATAATAGGAACCAAAAACACATCCGCAGGAACACGAGCCTCCCTACCATGAATAAGAAAATAGGGCGTAAATCCTGTACTGGAATGAACGCTAGTATTGTATGCAAACGCAACCTGAGATAAGAACGAGTCCCATTCACCCTCACAAGCAAGTAGCGTTTTGGCCAGCTGATCAATGAGCGTTCTGTTTAGTCTCTCTACCATGCCATCAGATTTAGGATTATAAGGCGTGGTATGTGTCTTTTTAACACCCAACAATGTACACAACTGCCTAACCACGTCTGACTCAAACTGTCGCCCCATGTCAGTATGAAGGGTCTCCATAACACCATGCTCCAAGATGAAATTGTTAAAGAGACACTCTGCCACGGTAGTAGCCCTCTGGTCCGCAATAGCATACATGTTAACAAACTTGGTGAAATAGTCTTCCACCACCAGAACATAGCGGTTTCCTCTCGACGTGACCGGCAACTCCAATATGTCTGCCGCAACCCGCTGAAACGGGCGCTGTGCCAACGTCGTCCGCATCGGAGCACGATGGTGAGGCACAGGCGCCTTGCGCCTCTGACAGGCATAACACTGCTCACACCAAGTGCGTATGTCACGATACATACAAGGCCAGAAGCACACCCCGCGTGCACGGGCCATGGTCCGCTCCACAGCCAAATGGCCAGTCAAGGGCCCACCATGAAGAAGACGCAGGACCTCCGGCACCAGAACCGATGGTACGACAACCTGCCATGTCTGTTCCACATCAGACAGGGCAACAACCCTGTGCACAATTCCGTCAATCATGGTCATGCGAGGAAACTCGTGCCACAAAATACGGAGAGCCTTACCAGCCCCTTTAATCCTCACTGAGGACGGCCTCTCACCCGCTCTAAGCCACTCCAACAGAGATCGAATATCTGGGTCCTCTTGCTGCAGACGCCTTACGTTGGAGCCTTCCTGAAAGAGGGTTTGTAGGTCACTCCCGTCAGGGGGTACTGAGGGCTCACAAGAATCCGATGCCTGAGCACTTAGGGGAGCCTCCGTAGAAGCTTCGATCCCACCGCTGCCACCAATGTAACGGGCAAGCTGGGTAGGAAGCAGAGGCAGAAGTATCTTTGGAGAATAAAATAACCAGACTCCGTTTATTCATGAACAGCCCAACACGACCGTTGCTCTCCCGGCCAGTTTCAAACATCTCCCCCAGCTCTTTGCGCATGCGCACTCTAGCACACGCTTACAGAAATATCAGATAAACCTTATTTTATTAACGCAAATGTCATTCCTCTTGTTCTTGCACCTTAAGCCACAACAGGACCACCTTTTTCAGTTGTAGTTTTACACTTATAATCGCCAGTTTTAGTTTAATCTTATTTCTCTTGCCTGCAGCTGATGTCACTGGAGGATGTATATACCACATGTATGGAGTGAATGTAAACACTCATGTAAAGCGCTTTGTGACTAGCTACATGTCTGTGAAAGGCACTATATGAATACAGATCTTCTTCTTCTATTGCAGCATGTCATATCAGTATATTGACAGTCTCCTAGCGCCTGCATTGACCAGGTACCACAGAAAGCTGTCGCTTGTAGGTTTACAATCTTGTCCCTATCGGCATCCAGCAGAGTCCTGGGAAAACAACCCAAAGGCATGGCCCAGGCTCGAGTATCCAGACATATACAATTACATCATCAAGTCCCCTGGTATGAACACCATGTGTACATACCATGTGTCCTACACTTGTAGTAATATTTAAATACCCATCAAGCATCGATAACATTAACTATGTTATGACATTCAAAAGCATTCTGTTACAATGTGGCTGTAATGAGCTCAGTCTGTCAGTGGCACAGCTTGTACAGTGTAAGTGAGGGACACAGTTTTTTTCAAAAGCCAAAAAAGGCTAACTGCAGAAATTCCACTTATTCCCCACACAACTAGTGCATTTCATTGTTGCTTATCGGTGTAGAGCTGTCGACCATTATGCATAGCGATGTCATAACATAGCAACAGAAAACAGTGGCATGGCATTGGTATTATTTTGTTATTCTTTGATTTGCCCCTCAATGTGTCCATTCATTTGAGATTACATTTCTATTTAAATTTTAAAGTAAAATGGCATACCCTCTATTCACACTTTTTATGACTGGTTATTTTTTGCAATAACCAGTCATCAGATTACATTTTATTGAATGTAGTGTCTAACGACAACAGTAAGACTTTAACATTTCTAATGAGAAATAGTTTATTAGACATTGTATAAGTAGAAATACTAAAAGACGTGAAGATTGACATGAAAACATTTGTATCATTTACTTGCAATTTGTCAGTGTTTTTGCTCTGGTCAATTGTCACTCTCCTAGATGTGATATGTTAATGTATAAAAATAAAATTATTTCCCTTTCTTCATTTTCTTTTGTTTCAGGTGTATTTAGTATTATGATGGTGGAGACCGAATCATCGCTGATTTTGTCAATGCCTAATTCCGTCTGCTGCAGGTCTTGCATTTCCATGCAGGGTGTTGACACTTCTTGTTGCAACTCTTCTGGGACACTTGTCTCCTCAAATTCCAGTTGCTTCTTCACCTTCCTTTCCTTTCGTGATACTAGAGTAGTGGATGGTGCTGAAAAAAATAGATAAAAGGTCTATATTTTGCAAATGATCACAGAAATTTTAAGTCATGGCCTCATATTTATAATAATAATAATAATGCATCAGTTTTATGTAGTGCTTTTCTGGACACTCAAAGACGCTTAACATTGCACTATTCATTCACTCCATACTTGGTGGTGGTAAGCAACTATTATAGCCACAGCTGCCCTGGGGTAGACTGACTGAAGCGAGGCGACCAGTCTGCGCCATCGGCCCCTCCGACCACCACCAACCACTCACTCACTCGGCTTCCTGGTGTTACTAAACGGCAGTATATTTAGTATTGAGTTGGATTGGGACGACAAGTCATAATAGTCGACTATGACTAGAAAGCAGCGACCAGTAGACTAGTTTTGTACTATAAATACCATCTTACCAAGAATTTCCAGGCTAGGCATTATGTACAAAAATCTGCATGACTAGTTACTTTGTAGATGCAATGACTTTTTCATACAGGAGGTAATTTTGTTTTCAAGGAAAATACATTTGTTAGCAAAATCTGTATTTTTACACAGATTACCATTTTTGTAGCAGTTAACCTCCCAAGTACTACTTTTTCAAATTTGTCATTAGAAATCAACATGTATTTTTTATTTATGTATTTCATATGGGGGGACAACATTCTATTTCACAAGGTGCTTGTATCAATTGTTGTACACAACCTCATTGCAATATGGAATCTTTTAATTCTTAACTGTGCATTGGAAATGCAGCTCATTATCTGCAGGTACGGTTTTACTGCAGTGTAAAATAAGAGCAAGAAACACAATTTGCTACTATATATATGTCTGCATAAACAAAATCGACTGCAATTTTTTAGTTTTAAATTTCAAGTGTTGTGTCAAACAAATTCAGATAATTTTTGGTCATTGATCTAGGAGCAAACTAGATGCATGTTGATCACACTACAGTTTGATGGGTTTTTTTTCTGTTAACGATAGGGTACTGTGGGTAGAAAACTTACCTTTTCTTTTCTGTGCTCTCTTGAAGCGATCAAGTGTGGTACTCTTAGTCAATTCCTTCAGCACTGCTTGCGGGAAAATGGACGGAGTGTAATCTGGGTGTGCGGGGTTGTTGTTCTTCTTCTTTCCTGTTCAAGGTGCAAAGTGACAAAATCTAAAGATTCCCACTGAGTAGCTCCAAGCCAGCTGGAGCCATTTCTCTCTCCTTTCTGGCTCAGTTGCCTCGCTAGGGATCATGTAAAAGGATAGGTCACTCCTTTTTACGCTGTTGTTGGTACAACCAACAATACAACAGTTTTTCGGCATGTTTTGTAACGCTCGTTTGTCTTTCGCTTCGTGTTGCTTAATGGCGGGCGCTGGTTTGTTTTACCCTTCGCCGCGTTGCTATGCGCGCGCAGTGCATTATGGGAGTCCAAGTTCCCGGATGTCCGACCTCGAGAATGGGAGAGACCAGCGCAGAGACTCAGCGCGGACCCAGTAACCTCCTGCAGCAGCAGTATATATGCCGTTGTTCTGTGGCCCGTGGATAAAGAAATGCCCCCTATAAATAGGAAGGGGTCACTAATACACGGCAAGATTTCCAATGTATTTGATAAAGCGTTGGCACATTTCATTTCAAAATGAATTAAAAAGTAGGCCAGATCTGCAGTGAAAAAGGCGGTATATATTTAAAGATTACTAATAAAGATTACTACAAATAAATAAATACATACATCGATATGACGGACATATCACTGGAATGTTGTATTTTTATTAAACTTCACCAAAGAGGACAACCCCAGCGTGCATGTTCACATGTGAACATGTCGGCACTGAATGCGTACGAGTGCTCCTGAGGACTCGTATGGAGCTCTTTTTCAAGTAACACGAGTGAGCCCTGTGGAAACTGCTACACGGGAAACTAGACCCAAATACTGTGTAACGTTACCAACAATAACACTGGGCCTCATTCACGAACGGTTCTTAGGAACAGATTTGTACGTAAATCCTACTTACGCGGTTTTTACGAAGAAAGTGGCATTCACGAATATTTCTCGTAACCAGAATTTGTCTTGGGCAAGTACAAATCCTACGAGTCCTCAGGAGCACTCGTACGCATTCAGTGCCGACATGTTCACATGCCGGGGTTGTCCTCTTTGGTGAAGTTGAATAAAAATACAACATTCCCGTGATATGTCCGTCATATCGATGTATGTATTTATTTATTTGTAGTAATCTTTATTAGTAATCTTTATTTATATACCGCCTTTTTCACTGCAGATCTGGCCTACTTTTTAATTCATTTTGAAATGAAATGTGCCAACGCTTTATCAAATACATTGGAAATCTTGCCGTGTATTAGTGACCCCTTCCTATTTATAGGGGGCATTTCTTTATCCACGGGCCACAGAACAACGGCATATATACTGCTGCTGCAGGAGGTTACTGGGTCCGCGCTGAGTCTCTGCTCTGGTCTCTGCGCTGGTCTCTCCCATGGATCTATACGGGTCTGCACTGGTCTCTCCCATGGATCTATACGGGTCTGCACTGGTCTCTCCCATATACGGGTCTGCACTGGTCTCTCCCATGGATCTAGACAGGTCTGCACTGGTCTCTCCCATGGATCTATACGGGTCTGCACTGGTCTCTACGGGTCTGCACTGGTCTCTCTCCATACGGGTCCGTGCTGCATGCTCCTGGATCCATACGGGTCCGCGCTGGTCTCTCAAGTCTGGTCTATGCGGTCTATCTTCGGTCCGCGCTGGTCTCTGCGCACCGGTCTCTCCAGTCAGGTCACTCCAGTCTATGCGGTCTCTCCTATAGGTCCGCGCTGGTTTCTGTGTGCTGGTCACTCCAGTCTCTCCTCGGGTCTGCATTGGTCTCAGCGCTGGTCCGCACTGGATCTCCTCCCAGGGTCCAAAATATTTTGAGATTAATCTCAAAACATTTTGAGATTCATCTTTAAAATAATACACAATATATTTTTAAATTAAGCTCATAACATTTTGAGATTCATCTCATCATATTCTTAGATTAATCTCATAATTTTGCTAGTTCGACTTTATTATCATAATATTTCGACTTTTAAGTCAACATTTTATAACTTTATTCTCAGTCTGGCAAAAGAAGAAAAAAGGGTGACTCTTTTGCTCCGTGTAACTCTTTGCTTTAGGCCTGTTGCTGTTTCCTCTGCCGTCTGCACACGGCCCTGCAGTCCCTTATATGGGCATTAATGGGCGGTTACTTATGCTAAGTACCTATGCTAATGAAGCACCTGGCACGCGCGCTGTACTTACGAGGAAATGGGATTCATCAATCTGAGAGAACAGCTGCGAACAATTCAGCGGCTTACGAGTGCGTTGATGAATCCCACGTGGGGACTTCTTAGAAATCTACTTAAGGACAACTTGAGAAGAAAGTTGAGTAGTTTCTAATGAAGTTATTCGTGAATGAGGCCCACTGTCCTTTGTTGCTATAAATGTTCAAATGTGATGGTTTTCATGAACACAAACAAACACACACAGCCTAAATAAATAAACAGGAATATACAGCAATAATGATTTGAAACAAGCACATTTACCCAAAATGTTCAAAAGACTAACTCATCAAATTAATGTAGTATCA